ATACCTCATACATTTTTCGTATTTAAATTATAACACATAAAAGCAACATATTTTTAGGTTGACTTCCTAGAAATGAAAAGTTGAGAAGCATTTGGATCAGGCGGACTGGATGTGAACATTTATTGGCAAAATAAAAATTTCGTAGAAGATTTGTGTCCAGACATTTTCACGATGTGTATTTCAAAACGAACTGGATACTATTACGAAATTGTCTCCCAACAAAATACCTTCCAAGTATGTTTAAATAAGTTATTTTATGTCTTGTTTTAAAGAGTACTACATAAATTATTCACAATTATTCACCCCACATGCTAAAAACATTTTGAAACTGTTCAAGGTGCCGCTTCCAAGAAGAATAGCTTCTATCGAGAGGATGTACCATCAAATATCGCCTCAGTTCCGCGTAAGTAGATATACAATGAATAAGGAATATAGTAGCTTACCTACGGCTTAAGGGTTTAATCAATAACCTACGTTTAAAATTTGAGCAAATATTTCATTAACTGTAGCAATTAAAGAGAAAATACCAACATTTTTTGAAACGTTAACACCCTGTATGTCGCGTTGACCATGGGCCTGAGAGAAAAAACCTCAAATGGAAACTCGACTTGTTTTCAGGTCGTCTACACGCCCTTGCTGTGTGTATAAGGTTGTGAATCACCCTGTATATAAATATCCTCTTCGTACAAAATGGGATTAAAGGTTTTTAGTAAATTACCTCATTTCGTAGGAAACAAGCGAGTTTGTTATCCGTTTACTTTTGTTCGAAAAGTGCCGCTTTACTTTCAATTTTTCGGAAAATTAAGTTTTCTTGGACTTCATGCAGTGTAATAGTATATTACATAATAAGAGTTGTAAGTAGCACTTTGCGTAATAATTCCATGAGTACTTAATTGCGTTACAACTCGAATTATGTACCATACTTTACCTGCGATCGTATTAACTTACTAAAACTAAAAGACAAATTTGTATGTTTTATATATTGTATATTGACAATTTGTATATACTTACAGTAGTGGCCATAGGTAAAATTATTTTATTACTTTTTACTTATTTTATTCATACGTATTACCGTA